CCTAACAGCAGGTGGCTGAGCCTGCATTCTGTATCCTTAACATATTGGTTACCTAACAACTCTCCTAGGCATGATCATCCTACCTGTTTCTCATTTCATTAGATGAAAGAATGTAGTAACATTTTCACAACTGGATATTTGTGTACTTTGTCTTTTAGATCTTTCTTGAAGAAATTGTTCAATGAAACAATTTCCAATATTAGCTTGTAGGTGTTCCCAGTATTAACACAATATCATCCACAGAAGTATCTATTCTATTTTTCTTTTAGAGTTTTAAAGATATCTAGCTCTACATGGAAAACACAAAATAATTTAATAATTAAGGCACATTTTTCTTTAAAAGTTAGGTGTTTTCTCTGAAAATCTAAATAATTTTATTAGTAGCTTGGTTTTCATTAAGATTGTTCTTTACCCATGCCTAATAAGAACTAAATGGCAAGAATTCCATTCTATTTGGAGTGAAGATAAGGTAGCCACAACTCTGCCTGGTCTTCATAGCTGTCTTTGTCTGAGCTTATTTGCTTACCATAAACAGAACTCCTCTTAAACTAGTTAAAGAAAGAGGAGGAACTCATTTTAAGGACACCAGAGTATTGAGCAGATCCTAAAGGCAGAAAGTTGATCCGGGTCTCAAAAGAATCTAGAAAAGGAATTGGAAAAGTAAAAATCAGAAATCTGTTTTATTCTGGAGTCACATGTCCTCCATGTCTGCTTCTCTTTGTTTACCTACTTTCTTTTTGTCATAGATCACCTTTTCTGTTTCAGTGTACCAGAACCCCTTATGGGTTTTGGGTGACTCCCTGGTCAATGGACAATCAAACTCCTGAGCTCCTTTGTTGAAATAACCTGAAGAAGGAATCCCACTGGTTGCTGGCCCACTAATCCACTGCCTTCCTCTGCTTCTAGCACAGGTCTACACAATTGTGAATAAGGAGGTTTGGGCTATTTAGTACCCTCCAGAGGATGGATCTCTAAGAACAGCGACTGACTAAGCTAAGGCTAGCTGCCATTAGAATAACAGTCCATTGAAAGTAATTATAAAATTAAAGCTGTCCATTAATAGATGAGTGAATAAAGAAACACACACACACACACACACACACACACACACACACAATGGAATACGGCCTGTAAGAAAAAAAATTCTATTATTTTTGATAATATGTGTGGACCTGGAGGGACTTCTGTTAAGGGAAATAAGCTTGGTACAGACACACAAATGTCACTTATATGTGGAATCTAAAAATATTGAACTCACAGAAACAGAGTGTAGAATAGTGGTTGCCAAAGGCTTGGGGTGGGAAAAGGGATTAAGATGTCAGTCAAAAGACACAATTCCAGTTACTCAAGAGAAGTAACTTTGAAGTAAGTAAGTATTGTGATATAGCTAATAACACATTTGGATCCTTGAAAACTGCAAAAAAGAGTAGATTTTTAAGTGTTCTCACCACACACACACAGTGACTTTGAGGTAATGCATATGCTAATTAGCCTGATTCAGCCATTCCATAATGTATCCATATTTCAAAACAATATGCTGTAAAACATAAATATATGCATTTTTCCTGTTTTTAAAAGTATCATTTTCAATAAAAATCATCATGGTGAGATTTCTCTACCCAACTGGTTACATACAAATGTAGCCTGAATAACTTAAAGATAAATGTGGTACTTTCCTAAGAATGATGGATAATGTTTTTCTTTAAATTGATTTTAGAAAAAATTTCTCATGTACCTTAATCACAGAATTACGATGTAAGAACAATTCTCAGTTTAAATATGTATTAACTCTAACACAGCTTGAGAAAATTCACCTGTCTATCCAATGAGTACCTGGCAGATGAGCCATAGGTTTTTGGCAGGCTTTTAGGAACAATATCACACGGTTAGGGAAACCAACATGACTGTTTTGTTTCCTGTATATTCAGGGGATAATTTATGTATTATACAGTTTCTTGACTTTCCCATCTGTATCCTGCTGTCCAAATGTGACAGTTTTGTTCAACATTAGCACTATTTCAATTTTTAAAACTTATATCAGACAACTTCCCTTGATGGAGGTGAATGAAGAGTGGAAAGTTTTATATATATATATGATTATACATCACATGATTATATATAATCATATATATCATATATATATATATAAGTTTTGCTCTAGATTTTTGTCATGGCCTCAAGCTTATTTTCTATTAGTAGCATTGGGTAATTAATAGATGGTTGGCTGTATTTCCTTTTACTCTCAGATTCTATCATCTTTCAAGTGAATTTAGTCAGGGCTGATCCTTCCAAATTGATTACTAGCCTGGATACCTGGGAATGTTCCCAGGAGTGGCAAGTGGAAGAACAACCGAGAAAAGCAGAGTGGCATCTTGTACTTTCTGTAGCTTCCCCTACTCTGACAGCTCACCTGGGACCAAGCACCTGCTTGTCCGTACTTATAATAGGATAAATTAGATACCAAGGTGTCAGCTTAGGTTAAAAACTATGTCTTCAGTTGCTTTCATTTCTATTTTTTTTCATTAATTTTTCTTTAATCTGTAACTTTTCCATTTTTGTGTCTTAATCTCTACATTCTGTTCATTTTCTTTATTTTTCTTTTTAGATTTTTTGAAGTGGATTTTATTCTTTTGGCAGTCGGTGAAGCTATTTGGAAAGCTATTTGGTTGAGCTATTTCACTTGCTGTGCCCTTTAGACTACAACCCTTAAACTGGAAGACATAGATTATATGATAAGCTATGCTTAGTGTATTAGGTATAGTGTGCAAAGTTTGACTGAATTTTAGTCTCCTTAATTTTCTCAAACAAATTCCAGTTAGCAAAACATACAATGACGCCTTCATTATTTCCAAGATAAGACATGTTCTTGACTAATGCCAGTGGACATCAGCTGTCCCCTACCCCTGTTCTTCACTTAGCATAGATGACCTACTCCTACAAACTCTTGGGTAAATGCTTTTTATACTGTCAGATGATTCTCTCCTGCCATACCTGTTCATCGTTTTAACACAGGTCCTTGAAATTTATTGTTTTCGTTTATTTTATAGTGTAAACCACTCAAATAGTTTACATTATAAAAAATGTACCAATTCCCTTGTTACACATAGTCATAATGCTACATTATTATCTTAAAAGAACAAGTTGCAGAGAACTTTGGAGGATGTCAGGAGAGCTGACAGATACTTCCTTTCAATTTGGGCCCAAGTTGGATCAGTCACCATTCTTCTTGCAAGGTGGATGCCCCCACAAACAGCAATAACTAATAAAGAGCATATGAATACATTATCCCATTTTAATGGAATTCTAATTTATTTGATTCTTAACTGTTGGGGAAAATGGAGGAATGGCCTTGTCTGAAAGTTGGCAAATACACTAGGTCCCTGTTTGGGATAAAGGTGGTCATTTAGGGTTTTATGCATTTCTTCCACATTGTTCATTTTCCTTTGGAATTTCCTTTCAGCAGTTTCCCCAATTCCATGAAATTCTTCAACCCAAAATGAGTCCATTATACAAATATGATCTATTTCCATATTTCAGAAAACAACCTGGACCCACATTGGCCCAGATGCCAGGTCAGCATCTGTGGAGTAGAAACACTGATGTTACAACTTCCAGCTCTTTTTCTTCTTTTCTTTCTGCTTTACCTATTCTTCTGCTTCTCCATATTATGTTTTGGGATGCCAATGCCTTAGATTTTCCTGTGAGTACTTGTAGTTGGGTAGCTGGCACACTAAACCAAAGAGCTGAATGTCTCCAACTTTGAGTTGTAACTCTCCAGTTAAATTTTTTTTCTTTGGGATTTATGGCAATGATAGGTTACTAAGATATTGCAATTCTCACAGTATATTTCTGTTTTATTCTAATACTGAGTTTAAAAATATCATGACCTGTTCACATCTATATATCTACATCTGTGTACCTTAAAAGCTCCCAACTCTTGTGTTGTATGGATTGAGCTTTAGTGCAAAATTATTCAATATATATTTATTGTGTGTTTTTATGTATCAGAAATGAGAATACCTTGGTGTTAAAGACAGAAAGTTCTCTGGCCTCTTGGAGGGGGCATTATGGAGCAGAATTGCTCCATAATTTATTTACTCCATAAGTCAGAGAGAAAAAAGGGATGGTAGAAATTGGAAGGGAATAGCATTTGCCATGTTGTATAGCATACCACAGAAAATGAATTGAAAGGAAAAAAATTTCAAAACAAAATATTTCGAATATACCTCCACTCAGGAAATACATGTTCATTATTTTCTTCAAGCCAGAAATAACTTTATCCCTCCTCTCTTTGAAATTCTCATAAATCTGTTATTATTCGGGGTCTCCATCCAATTTCTCATCAAAATTGCCTTATTTGTAGCTTCCAAACACTAATACCACTATGCGGAAACAGAGCCTATAAAATGCCTTAGGGGCATGAACTGCGTGTGAGGCAGAAATGGTATTTAAGCCCTTAATGAAATTATGAGCTTTGGAACTGTTGCATAGTGGGTTTATAGGATCTTTCCTCCACTTCCCCTGTTTGGGGGAGCTGAGGGGGTTCAGGAATATGTATAAACTTTCTTTCTTTTTTTAAAAAACTCTCAAAGGGGTTTCTTTCTACTTGCAATAATTTTTTTTTTTTTAACTCTCAAATAGGTTTCTTTCTACTTGCAATAATGTTAATAATGCTCAGGAGCACAAAAGCTAAATACGTCGTTTCTTCAACGACCTTTCTTCAGAATCGTGAAAGTGAAGAAAAAGAGAAGGAGAGGGGGAGGAATGGTAAGAAAATAGTGTAAAGGAGAGAGGAAAGGAAGCAGCAAAAGGGGAAAGGGGAGCGAGAAAATGAAGGAGCACTGGTTTGCGGACGAGCGTTCCCAGAGCAGCCACAGCGCGGAGCCGCCGGCGCCCACTGGTGCTCGGAGCTGCCAATCGGGGTGTAATCCTGTAGGAATTTCTCCCGGCTTTATCTGGGAGCCACACTGCCGCCTTCTCTCCCCCAGTCGCCTGGAGGAGCCCAGAGAGGCAGGCTAGGGAGGGCGGGAGGGAGGGAGCGGGAGCAAAAGAGGAGGAGGAGGAGGAGGACCCGGGAGGAGGTGGCGGCGCGGGAGGAGGAGGAGGAGGGGCGCCGCCGCCAAGCCACTAGCCCCGGCTCCAACGCGCTCCTCTCCAGATACTCCGGGAGCTCCGGCCGCGCGGATAGCGCGCCCCCGCCGCTCTGCCCCCAAACTTAGGCTGCAGCTCCATTTCAAGCCATCGAATTTATTCCTCCAAATCAGGAACTGAACAGCGACGCGGGAGGGAGTCCGCGAAGGAGTAAAACCACAGCCGGTCGAGAAGAGCTCCCGAGAGCCGCCTTTCCGAAGCACGAACTCCGTGTCGGGAGTGCAGAAACCAACAAGTGAGAAGGCGCCGCGTTCCCGGGGCGCAGCGCGGGCCGCCGGAGCAGGCGCAGGAGCAGATAGCGAGCGCCTCCGAGCCCCAAGCCTCAGCCCCCGAGCCCAAGCCGCGGTCGCTGCGGCTGTTCGGCTCCCTCTGCGCGGGCTGTGCCTAGAGCTGGACAAGAGGCTTCGTTTCGCCCTCGTTGCAAGCTGCGGCTGGGAGCAGCCGGTCCCAGGGGAATATGCAGCGTGCGTGGATCTTGCTCACCTTAGGCTTGGTGGCCTGCGTGTCGGCGGAGTCGGTGAGTGGGCCAGGCGGGGGACACGCGCGCTGTTTAGGGTGCCCCGGGCTGAGAGGAGCCTTCGGGAAATCGGGGATCGCCATTCGGGGGTTCCTCCACCCCAGACATCGCACTTGGCCTTTGGGGACCTGCTGGGACTAATGCGATCATTCCTCTACCTCTTTTTCCCCTCCCAAAGAAAAGCGCTAATCACTGGAGTTGCCCTGTTGTACCCAGGGATGGGAACATAAGAAATGCAGTTTTGTTTAACCGCATAGGCCCCTGAAGTCACTCCCAACTTCCTCGCCCTCCAGGGATCTGGTTGCGTGGTCCAGGAAGGGCGAAGGGGAAAAAGGGTGGCCTGGGTTGCGAGCCCGACTAGGGCCCGCGCGGGATCGGGTGCGCTCCGCGAGCCCCAAGGGCTGATGCAAACTTCTGGGTCCCTTTCGCCGCAAACCATTCTCGCATTCCAGATTTCCAACTCGACTGAATGCAAGTTCTGATGAAACAGGTCCCAGATTTTAAAAACCTCCGAGTGTCCGGGGAGGAAAGTTTATAAAAGTTCTTTTGTTTGATGCTCCCTGTGACTGGGGCGAGATGCCGACACTTGGTGTAACGCAGTCCGCGGTCCCGCAGGGGGATTCCGGGCTGTGCGGAACCAGATCGAAAATGCGGAGGCGCGGGCCGCTGGAATCTGTCTTTGGCGACCCCTCCTAGTTGAGGGTTGGAGGGCGGCCCGGGGCCTTAAGGGCAGGACGACATTTTAATCAGGATTGCACTGGAGTGCGGCAGGCTGAGCGAGGCGGGGTGCGTGTGACACTGCGCTCTGCCTTGAGTCACCTCGTCACTTCGGGGGCAGAGGCTTCTCTCCTGCCATACTCACCTTCTCCGGTCCTGGCGGGAGCTTCCCGGCCAGGAGGAATCTCTCCCCGGGCGGGGCCAGTTGTTCTCAACCAGCATCCCTCCCCCCGCGCCTTGGCAGTGGGAACTTGATTTCTCCTTTGGGTCGCGTTTCTGGGGCTGGAGCTAGTTCCTCTGTGTTGCCCAATGAGCGCCCTCTAATGGGAACTGCCTCCTGGGCCTCACCGTGTCCAAGGCTGCCCCTACCTGGGCGCCAAGGGCTCTGTCCAGCCAGGTGGAAGCCCAAGCAGCTAGGCATTCGCCTGTAGCTCAAGTGCTGTCCCTTCTAGTCCCCAGGGTCCTTCTTTTGCCACCTAACAACTTTTCTATTTCTAATTAATTGAACTTTCTTTTAAGAAACAAATTACTGTATGTAATCTTTTGTTGGTTTGTGAGGCTTCTCCCTCCCCCCTTTTTTTCTTTGAGTTGAAGCAGTTTCAGATTGAGAAACTTATTGGGCATGGTGTTTGTGACCAGTGTGGGAGCCTGTGTGCTAGCAGTTCCCCAGGTTGGAGCATATAGAATTGGAAAATGTATAGAAAAAAATGAGTATTTATCTGGGTGCTCATGTTGTAAGAAGCATCTCTCCTTACCAGTATTTCTCATTGACAAATGATGGCTTAATCCTTAGAATTAGTAATCTTCCAGCCAATTATGAACTTTGGCTCCTTGTACACAAAAAGGGAACAGTTCTCTGTTTATTTCAGAAAAACATTATTGCTCATTTTATTGCAAAACAGGGCAAAGGGACAACTTCATCTAATGATTTTCAACAGAAGCTTGCCTAAAAAGCTGTACAGGGTTAGGAGAATATCTCCTTCCCCCCAAGTCCTGCTCAGGGATTTACTAGGAAATGTTACTGTTTGGTAATTCTAGAGAAAGAATAGCCTTGTGGGGTTTTTACTTCTTTTGACTGAGCTCTTAGGAAGTGTTTTGTAGAAACTGTACCTGTCCTCCTCGGGGACTGCTTCCCCCTGAAATCGGTATCTTTGGGATTCTAATATTTCTCAGGGTGAACCAGAATTGGATGTTTTCTGAGTAAAGGGCTTCATTGTGATAGACACTGTTTTCAGGGGTTGGAATATCCTCCAAAAGGGTGATTAGATATTTTTAAAATGTCAACTTGGAGACTCCAAGCATACAGTCTTTGTTAGGCAGTGAATCTTTCTCAGTAGAAGCTGTTTTGAGACCTAGAATGGCTAATGGTCCATTTAAATTACTTTTGGGTCTCTGTTTGTTTCACATACAGCTACATAAATAGGCACAGACTCAAAAGACTTAATTTTTAGAAGTTTAACTGTCATAAAACATTATTTCCAGCACTTTGCATTTTAATTTGAAAACTGCATCTGTGTCCTGGGATTTAAAAGTAGTGATCCTCTGAGCTTAAAGACTCTTTAAAAGGAAGGAAGAAAAATCATCTACAGTCAGTGAATTCTAGAGTTTTGTACTTAGCTCAGGGGCAGAAAAGGTTCCCAGATTAAGGCTTAAAGTTGTCTGTGGAAAAGAACTGGTGGTCCTTCCCTTGCATATGCTGAGATAGCCCGGAAACCTGTTTCTAGTGATCCATTCATGCTTTCTTTCCCCTGGCAGGTTTGGACTTTCTCTGTGGGAACACCAGGGCAGGGAAAGACAGACTGAGTGTGGCAGTAGTGATATGCTGCTGTTTTTCTGCCCTTTTTTTACGTGACTGTTTATCTTTAGAAATAATATATTGCAGACTGCTATAAACACATAATTTGAACTGGAAATATGTTTAAGAAAAGGAAGCGTTTTGAACTAGGGGAATTTTATAAACAGGCTTAGATGTCTGTAAATTAAAAGAAACTGTCAAGTCATTTGGAGCCATGTATTACCTCTGGTGCATTATGAAAGGCAGGCTCTGGAGTTTGTAAGAGAAGGGAAAATAAAACTGAAATCATACAGCCTTTTGTAGTTCTTTTAAAGTATGTTGTCTGTTCTAGTAATGATATGAATTATTTTTCTTGGGGAGTTTGATAGAAACAAAGGCTCTTTATTTTTTAGTTGGATATTAGCTGTAGATAGATGTCACTTAAGAAGGAAGTCTCTTATAAGATCAGGCTTACAGAAGAAGATGGGTGGATGTCCAAGAAGGAATTTGAACATGCCTTTTCAACTCCTGCTTCTGGAACCTGGTATATCTAGTTGTTTTAATATTATTTAATGAATAGTAATAGTACTTACATTGTATCCTATGATGTTTTGATGCATGTGTATATATTGTATATATTCAAGTCAGAGTGGTATATCTAGTTTTGATGGTGTGCCCCATTTAAAGAGTGGACTGTATAACATTATCACTCAGATGGCACCTTGGGGAATCCATAGTTTGGAAAAACCTTAAAAAAGTCAACTAGTTTTTCCCAGACGAGAACTAATTTTCAAGTCGCCAGATACCCCAGAGATCTGGCTGACCATCCAGAGGTAGCTTGGGGTCTCCTTAGGTTGGTGAGGCCTCTAAGGCTAACCCAGCCTCATGCAGTCTGACCAGCTCTATCATTAAAGTTTATGGGGAGTCCAGTCAAGCCAATGTGCTGTTGGCGTGTCTGTTGGCCGTGGCCCAGTAGGTCCTGGGAGGAATGCTTCTGAGTTTAGATTCTCACTAACTTGTCCTTCCATTGCCAAAAACCAAATTAGAAGATCTCAACCATTATTTTCTTCTTCCCAAGGGAGAAAGAAGATCTACCGTTCTTGCCACTGTCAACAGGACATTCCACTATCTCAAAATCACCTAATTCTTTCATGAACTAGAAGCCAAAATAAAGTCTTAGAGAAAAGCCAGAAGTAATGAAGAAGAGCCTTTGCTGAGGACAAGATCTTTTAATTTAACCTTTTTAGTCAACCATGTTGTTTTAATGCTAGTCCTTTGGAAATGAGTCTTAAATAAATCTTGACTCATTCATCCATGCATTTCTCTGTGCCTTCAAAATCCATCTGCTTGCTCATTAAACAGGTGAATATTCCTGCCAGGGAATCAATCAGCAAACCAGGGAAACCCCCTTACCTTCTTGGAGCTTCCATTCTAGTGAGCCAGGTAGCTTTTCTTCCAGTTGTTTTTTTATTTTTATTTTTCTTCCTTCAGACATGCCAGTGGTGCATTTATGTCAGTAGCTTTATAGTTGCCACTCCCAACCCAGATAGATACCTGCCTGCTCTTTAGTTTGTCTCCTACCACTTTGATCATATTGCCCATGGTCCAAAAATGCCTATTTGTCCTTGTTATTGTGGTGTGGAGTCAGTGTGCCTTGGCCAGCTTTATGGGCCACTCTGTAATATTGCTCCTTCCTGGTTCCCCCCGGATCACTCTCCAACACGCGTCCTGGCTCTCGCCCACGGGTGTCACTGTCACGAACACTCCTTGGATATGTGGCCACCTCTTCAGCATTTCTCCTTTGAAATTCTGTTGGTTAAATCCAAGCTCCAAATAGCTTTTCATGACTGATCCAGCCCCATGTCTCTTTTTAATGCTTCCGTAAATAGTAAGGCAGACTGATGATCAAAATCACTGGAACGATGTAGAAGTACAGATTTCAGACCCACTTCATCAGAAGGCTGAATGGGGGTGTAGGATGGAAGAATCTGTATTTTTATAAAACGTCTCAGATGATTCCTGTGAGTCAGCCACACTTGGGAATTACTAGTCTAGATCACATGGGTCACTCCTTAATTATGTGCTGCTCTGTGTCACTTCTAGGATTCTCAGCAGTGGCTGGGGTTAGAGCACCAGGGCTTGGGCTTAGAGGTGGACAAGTCCAGATTGTAGTGCTTGTACCTAGCTACTTACTCAGTATTTCAGCACTCAGACAAGATACTAAAGCTTTGAGCCACTTAAAAAAAATGTGTGTGTGTATGTATGTGTGTGTGTGTGTGTGTGAGAGAGAGAGAGAGAGAGAGAGACTGAAAAGGACAAGAGAATTGGACCTAAGAATGCCTTTATAATTGTTGGAGGGAGCATATGACTGGTGCTTGAGGCCCAGAAAGTGCTGAGTGGTTTTCTTTCTTCCTTCCCCTGGCCTTTGTTTTCTTGGCTGTGAAATAAGGGAGTGATATAAGGTGCTCTTTAAGGCCTCTGACCCGCCTGATGTCTCTCCTAGGAAGTT